CAATGATTGATTGGATTTATGCAAACCAAGGAATATTATCAATAGGAACAGAAAAGAACAGAAAAATAGTTCACTTAAACAGAGAAATACATGATTAGTTTAAATTTACCTTCATCACCGAACCTTGAGGTGATTTTTCTTTCCTTCAAAATAGTTAGAATGCATTTGCTCTTCATCATGTGATTTCGAAAAACTTGTTATAAACAGCTAAGTAACTCTTTCAAACTTTACCAAATGGAACGGAAGCACGGTGAATTCAGCGCTGAAATCTCAACATACTTCAAATCGTTGCCTGAGACTCTTACTATGTTAGTAGTCTCCTAAATTTGCGTCTTCCCAAAATCCGACTGTTCTAGCTCATTCTACCCTAATTGACTTGTACAATTACAAGCTTTCTTATGCACTTCAGACAGTTCTTTCCCAAATTCTTCGATACTCTTCAGTACGACGTCATCTTCTCTAATATCACCCTGTTCGCGAGCCAACATTACACAAATGAGAAATCAAGGCCAATTCTGCGTATTACTGTCACCATTTATGAATGAGCTCTGAACCCCGTATAAATTTGTTTCTCTTCCTGATCACAAAGCCCACAGTAGGGTACAACAAAACCATACAAGTTACTACTTTAAGTAGGCTCTCATAACGGCATACAGTTCCTCAATAATGAATCGAGTTTCACAGCGCTCAAGTAATCAAGGCAAAACCTTTCGATCAAGATCCGATAACCCGCGATCTTACTTGCACAATTCCTGACATTCTAACACCCGTTTTCAATTTCCAATTAGTTTTGTTAAACTTTCACTCGTTGCATTACTTCTCTGAGGATAACACACTCTGCTATAAGAGAGTAGCAGGAGAAAGCAGGTTTATAGCGAGATGGGGAATGAACCGGAAAAGATACGGATCGAGAAACAAGGTAGACATCAATAAACTGAACAATCAAAAAAAAAGTTGTCATCGACCTATGATAAATAAATTACATCAGTCCAATCGATTACTAAAAGCAGTATTCCATACCTCAACTAATTAACAAAATATAACATGAATATGAAAGATCAATAATCGTTAGATACGAGATTATAACTAGATTCTAAAGAATGCTGTTTAAAAATAGCCGAATGCGGTGACGATAGAACGGAAGCGATTGAGGTGATTAATTGAATCAAAAGAATTACTAGCTTCGTTAATGCAATAGAACGAGAACGGCGCTTTACTGCTTACTATCGAATAGCATCCATCACCTAATGGATATCACAAAAATTAATCACATCAGCAAAACTTTGAAATGAATATATTAGCAGGAAGTCGGGAAGAACAAACATGAAAGATGCGTTTAACAAATAGGATTGCATTGATCATGATGACGATCCGTTCATTCCATATCAACAGGTTCACAAACTCCAAAAAATCTATTCAACTTTCGACGCATTGAACAGAAGAGATTAAAAATTCGTCAGATCTTTAAAATTTCCGATCTCAAAAGCCAAGTGTTTGCTCACTAACTTGCATGTGACAATCCCTTTCACACATACAATTTCCTCGATGAAACCCTTCTGTGTGTTCATTATTCCTTGAATTAATTCAATTTTAAAGCCTATGATAAATTATAATAAGCTTCGATCATTTACTAATCACTTCATTCATCCCGTAATGAGCATGTTCGGTAAAGATAACCGCATTCATACAAACTCCAATCTTTCACAATCCTTTTCCTTGAAACCCTGAGCTATTTTAACTATTATAGACTTACAATTAGAGCTTTATTACCAACTCTACCTCATTAACAATATCAGAAACTGGATCACTTTGAGACTGAACACCTACTTCATTCAATAAGTACTCCAATACGATCAATTACTACGTTTGCAGTAAAAACACTGAAAATATCGTAAAAGCAACTGTCCTACTATCTTTAAACCAACCACAATTACTAGATAGGCTCAATTCAACAAGTACGATCACTACTAGCACAAATATCATGAAACAACTTTCTAATTAATTTGTCAACCAATAAAATATGACTGCCAGTGACCAACGATCACGCGCGGCATTCAGTGATTAATCTAATCCTTCTCTGAGCTCTCCACACATACATATTGCAACTCTCATCCAATTAATAATTACGACTAAATTCTTAATGATATACTAAAAAAATATACTCTTTGCAAGTTGTATANCGCCGAGCACACACCAACACCGTGATTTACAAAAGCAATTGCTGAATGTTACGAGGATATACGATTGTGATTAACACTAATAGCAACACAATACGAAATGAATGAAATAAAAATGAATCGGTAGGATTGAATCTGAGCAGTGAACAGGTTATTGCAAAATGAATTGTATAAATTGGTAACCACACTAAGCAAGATATTTATGCGAAATAGACTTAAACGACTCGTTTCGAATACAGAACCTAATGATAAAGTGTGCACAAAACAAACTTCTCTAGGAGCATAAAACAATCATTATCATATGATGTAGTGCAACGATAAATGAAGATGAATGTAAAGGTTATATGAAAAGCTATTGCGATGGGTCAAATGCTGAAACATCTTACTATTGATCATCATCGTGTTGATAAGGAAAAAGATAAAAGCAATTATATAAATAGGTAATAATCGAATACGCCGACAGAAGACGGCTGCAAATCGATTCATTCAAAATAATGCAACGTGACTGGTGCGAAAAACAATTTATTAAGCATCAACAACGTGTAGAATAAATCGAACGAACAACAAGTAACAAATTAATCATCAACGGGATAGATCCGTTATTTTAAACGCTTAAAGCAGTACTGATATTGACAATATTAACGATGAAAATAATGAATTGATTGCAAGCGGTTGCTTATTTACTGAAATATAATCATTTGATATCATCATGAGTACTTTATTCGTATTCGACAATAAGATAATTATTCATTCATTGATTTCTCTGCGGTCTTCAACATTCCTAACATCACATTCCATACGCCCGATTATCTTCATCAGGTACTCGAACGTCATCAATTTTCAGTACCATTCTAACCACCTAAAATTGTCACTCCTATGTAATATATCCACATGGCATTCAATCGAATTCGCATCAGTGATTTACATCACGTTAGGCATTCATATGGAACATGCTCATTTAGGTCCATTTGATAAGAAGAAAGGTTCATAAATTTGTTTAATTGTGAATTTGTTCTTTACGCATATTTAGGTTCATTTGCTTTCTAAAAAAACGCAAACGTTAATTGCTTTGAGAGAGCGCACAAACCTGTGTGGCGAGTGAAATTTGCTCCTTCTTCGAAAGAAGCGTTTCTATCACTTTTTGCTCGCGCATATCTGAAACACATGGTGCATTTGATGATACCCAAACACTGATATTGACAAGGATCACATTTAAAATATTGACAACAACACCAATATATACCCACTGTCAGCACTTAACATCAATGAGAACTACTTTATAATCGAAAATAACGGGTGCAAAAATTAGGCAGTGCGACGCAGATTATAAGCACATTATTTCAGTTGTAATCACAGTACACGTTCGAACTGATCCGAACCTATCATCATCGAATTTCGATATCTTTTTCAACAAAGGAGTCAAGTAGATAAGCCAAAAACAACTTCTTGAAAGACTGATTGGTAGTGACAACTCTCGCAGCTTGGAACAGACTGATAGTGAGACAGTATGACTCAAGTTCAGCAAAAAGAAAATTGTGGTTCACAGTTCTTAATCATCGTAGCAGAACTTTTCACTCCTCTTCATACCAACTCAAAGTAATACCGTCGAGAGAAACAATTCCCAAGTCATTCAAATGAATGCGAACGTAATAATGAAAGATAATAACCAATTTCGACATCAATATCTAAAAATTTCTTTTTCCATTCATTCGCCACCGACATATCGTGCTAACATTAAATTAGATCAGCACTGATGACGATGGTGATGAATTAATGGCATAAATTTTCAACAATTATTCAAAACCATTCCTAAAGACACATGAAAATAATTGAATAAACTAAACGAAGCCTACCGTCAGTACCAGCGAAGACGCAATCAATGCCCAATCGCGGGTTTGACTGTTTCAATTGCTTCGCCTTCAGATCCGTGACCGCGTCAATCGGCGACAATCCCGAATTCTCAGCCAGTGCCATTGGAATCGATTCTAGCGCATCAGCAAACGCTCTGAATGCATACTGCTCAACACCTTCGATCTGCAATCAAATTCAAGTAATCACATTAACTGCTAAATGTACGTCTGACAAGATTATGATTTGAATCAATCTATAGTTACAAATGTTGATGATGTTAACATAATAATAATAATAATTTTTANAATCGGAATATACATAATAATCGCACACGCCATCACATTTAAGCGAAATTATTCAATTATTCAATCACAACACGCATTCACCACTTACTTCATTTTCAGTTTTTTGCAACGGTGCAGTAACGTAACCAAAATAAAACTTATAAAACGTTGCTACTTGCTAATATCTTATTCAAAAGCACATTAAACAGCATATGAAATATTGTTAGCCTGTTCGAACTTGAAGTTCAACTAAACATAAACATCGAACATAAACTAATAGCATGTTCAATCGATCAATTGTAGTGTTTTTTGGTTCATTTTGAGTTACTCTCCCTAGAAATCATTGGCCAATATGAAAATCGTAGCCCCAACACCTCTGTACACGCCAGATCAGTGATCGAATTTGGAATTAGATGAAGACTTTAGACGATTCTCAGCGCTGATATCGTTAGCTGCACGGAAGGAAGTAAGAATGTGATATCGGTGATAACGGAGAGCCACAAACTCGTAACAAATTATAATTGCTGATTAAATAAAACAAAATGAAATAATTCATAAATTGATAACAGCATATTAATGGCGTTAAGCAGTGAACGCAATACGCACAAACTTAACAACTATCGTCACTTCTCCATTACGTAGGAGTTTCTGTAGATAATATCGCATGAATGCATGACTAATTGCTTAGCATATAAACAAGCGACTGCTAATTTTTTTAAAAGTATAAACAAATAATGGATCGTCAAATCATATTCACAAAACAACAAACCAACCGGAAATGCAGTCATTACGGCAGCATTGATAAGCAGAATAATTCAAAAAATGTGTCGTGGAATGAAATGCATACCTTATCAGCTTCTTTCGCCACTTCAAGAGAGCAACAAATCTCAGCAGCACCTCCTCCGTAAACAATGCGATTGTCTTTAACGAGATTACGAATCACACACAACGCATCATTCATTGAACGTTTCGCTTCGTCAATTATCATCTTATTACCACCGCGAATGAAGATTGTCACTGCACGATGATTGGGACATTTCTCGATGCATAACATTCGATCCTTAAATGTTTATTCATTCCTAATTCAACTTGAAACATTCTCGAACAATCCCACCCTCAAACAACTAAACTGCCGAGTTTGAACAATACAAGTGGTATGGAAATGGGATAGGGCTAAAACCCAGATTTATTAGCTTCCATCTTCGTAGTCATAATCAAAACTGCCTGAAGTCAGTGTCCATTGGTTGGTACATTAAAGGANTAAGGGCGCGTAACCAATAGTTGTTTACTTCGATAACAAATACTCTGATTTGAATGAATGACTTACATCTACAATATCACGAAAACGAGCACTAGAATATGGCTGATGTTCAATGAATGAAGGAATGATCAATAAGAAATAATAAACTAACGCAAACCTTAAACAATAAATATTAATGACAAATAATACATAAATACTAAACGCAAACCAACCTTTGCAGTTCCAAAGCTCATTTCTCTGACACTACCAGCCATGCCAAGCTTTTGTGGTGTCAACTCGGCGAATCTCGGCACAATACGTGCATTCGTAGCAATCGCGATCAGCTCGATTTCAGGTCCACCCACCCATCTGACAGCTGGTAGATTGTGCGCATGCAACAAATGATTCGCTTCATCATCAAATCCCCACTGACAGATCGCTAACGTCGCACCGCTATCTTTCACCTTAAACCTCTTTTCATAAACACTGACCAAGTTTACTTACTTGCTATCTAAATATGCATTCAAAATCTTTAGCTAAAACTCTGAACACGCTGAGGGTATACGCATATTATTACTCATTTATTGAATGAATAAATAAATACTGTCTTATTCAATAATAACTACTTCCACGTTCCATTCCTGATCAATTGGTTCACCAAATGGACTGTCCAATTGGTTCACAACATGTTGTTTGTAACGCTTATAAGATTAACATGGATCAGAATACACTCCGATGCTGCGCTAAAATCTCGCCGAATCGAACGGAACGATTTGTAAAATATTCGCGATACTCTCACGACTTGTTTCGCTTCACATCTATTTTCCCATGTTTGACTATCTTTCACGTAGCATGAATATAAATTGCCTGTTGCTGCTTGAAAAAAGTTTTTTAAAAAATGAAGTGAATATAGACATAAACATAGACACAGTGAATAATGTAACAGAAAAAATAATGAAGAAACAAACGTAAAAACAATGATGACAACAAAAAAAGCGAAAACAGAAATGATAACAAAATGAACAATAAGATGACTGAAGAAGCGAACAGAAACAAAAGGAACGAAATGCATAATCGAAGAGACGATCAATGAAATTATTGAATTATCAGTCAGTAAATCGCGTAAAAAATTACATTTATACAGCACCAAACTAATGATTATCGGCCGTCTTCTATGTGAATATTACCAATTCCTCGTGAGTTATCATTATGATTTCCATCAGAAATCCAGCATAAAGCAAATTACATAAAAGCGCGTTGCGTTTTCTCTGATCATTTCATCGTTTTTATACAATTAAATAAACACCCACTTCAAAAATGACTCATTCTTTCAATTTCAATCTCAATCCCAATCTTCCTCTTTTATAACCACCACTGCCCTTGTGCCCTTTGTTTCTCATTTCTTCAAACAATTCCTACATTCTTCTTTCTTTCTTCACTTTCCTTACTTCCCTTCCTGTTCAGTTCATATGCACCCCTAACCGTTCCCATTCTCATCTCTAAACTAAACGTTTTCTCGCCTCTTCTCATCATCTTACTAGATATCGTCATATTAAACGAACAAACCATCTCAACAAACAAAAATCAACCTTATCATCTTCAATTCATTCACAAACCAACCATCCATCCATCCATCTAACAAACAAAAAATATTCATATTACGTATAAGCTATCAATCTCAGTTCATTCCCATTAACCGCACATATTACCATACACAATACGGATTATTCACATTCATTCACTCCCCACCACTTTATGATCTCATGCATTTACTGTCACAACTTTTATGCACGTAACTGCCACTGCTCACTGTCAATAAAAGCCCTGTTAACTGTTTGTTGAATACTTTTGCAGTTATAATCTCTGATAACTTGAACACATCAAATATAACAATCAGGAAGTAACCATGAAATCATGCGTACGATGCATTCAACGCAATATGCAAATACATATCGCAACTTTTGTCACACCTCTTCATCACTACAACCATTCACGATCCAATTTATAACCACCACATCCTCTCCATTACGATTTGATTCACCATTATTATTCTTATTCGAAATATTGTCACATAAACATATAAGAATTAAATAGTAATACATTAATGCACATATCAATATATCGCATTTGAAACAATAATCAACAAACAAATATTTTACCTGTTTAATCATCGCCTCAAAAGTGTCCTTCTCATATTGACGTAACTTCTGGAAGTCTTCAGTTGTTGTTATATCCAATTTATGTTTGGTCTTCGGCTTCGGTGGTTCGAAGGGACACGTCAAAACTGCGATCTTTACATCGTTCAATTCCTAAAATTGATCATTCATCTGCACCGTTAGCAATGTCAGTATATTACTGCAGAAGAAATTCATTCGTAGAGAGTTATATTAGTTCTCGACGATAAAAGACTGTAACATGCACAATAAGGAGGTAAATGTTGCAAAATTAACACGAGTTAAATCGCATAAATAGTGGAACACAATAAAATTATTATTACACAATACTACCGCACAAACAATGAACTAATTATTCGCTCAATACCACTGATTCATCGAAACAGTTGATTTTTCTCCATCCTAAAATTACATTCTATCATCGCAGTCTACCGCATTTCGTCGAAGGATCTGTCAAAAAAAGAAATTTGGAAAAACATGTCCCCAAGGATCTTCATTAAGTGAGCATGAAAAATCAATAAATTGATGAAAGTGTCGTCAACATACGCACATTTTTCTGATTCTAAGCAGCCATATATTTGAGATCGTAAGAATAGTTGCTAGTTTGCAGCACATTCATGCTAAACGGTTAGGTGAGGTGTGGTGCAATGAACGATTGCATTCAATCAAAAAAAAATGAAAGAGAATGCAGTGTGTACGCATAAATGTCTATCGCATTCGAATCACAAAAAACGAAAGAATCAGTTATGTGCATTGCATAACAATTGATTCGATTCGATCACATCCCAAAGATGAGAGTCCAACAAAAGGAATGCGAATATAATGCCTACTACTAGCAGAACAACACCGATGCAATAACACAAAGAATATATTAGATGCTTCGACAATATCACTCCATATCTCTCAAACAGTTTCATTTATCAATGATAAATATTTACATTTTACAGCAACCAACAACATATCTGACCAATGAACTAACTAACACATTCAAGGATAATCAAAGCTAGTCCATAAGCGATTCTCAGTCAAAAACAATTTTTTTTTCAACAATGGTGAAAAACCCCTAACCCGGTTTAGCTCATAGCACAACGACTTTGAAGACCTTTCATAAACGAGATAGTCAGCTATCGAATGATGAGATGATAATATCGATCAGGATGATAGAACTTAAATTCCCCCCCCCCGCCTCCCCCCTTAAAACATAGGGACAAATCTTAATTTCATCATGTTGCAAATCTTCATCGGCTAGCAGCTCTCTTTTTCTTGTCTACCTTGAATGTAGCACTGAATCAAATTGGTGCTTTTTTGAATGCGAACTGAATGAAAAGGTCACAGACGAGATGAATGAATGCTCACGCGCACAATTTTGATCCAATTCGCTCATTGCTGAATTGAAGTTCCGAAAGAAGAAATTCGCATCATAAACACCGTCTTCTTTACGCACTCAATGAAAACACATTCAATAGAGCAAACAATATGGAATGAATAAATAAATAAAAACGCTTCAAATTTACAGCATAAAACGTAAACGTACTGTTATTACTCAGTTATATGATTGTAAATTTGATGAGCAATGAATGTTAACTGCTCCACGAAACGACCACAAATAAAATTATAATAGTCCATTCAGTTGCACATGGACATCAGTCAAATTATTTACGAAAAAGCAATTGACCAACAATAATATTGTCAATAAAGAATTTTTCACTAGAAACGTTTACGATTTTACGATACCTCAAAATAAGCCATCATTCAAGAGTGAACCAAAAAATTATATGATTTTTCATAAGATGTGGAAATGATGGTCAACTGAACGTAGATGAACGATAATGCGTTCGATAAATGCGTAAAACAATGACCATTCGATCAATCGAAACACACGTTGCTGTATCTTGCATGCATTACGGTGGGCTGATATCTCTTGAAACGTTTTCATTCAGAAGCGAACAAACAAGCACACACCACAACAACAGTAACGCAATCGAATCGCACGCAACAATGTGAAACAGCGCACGAACCTTCGGCATCTGTGGATGGCTCATGGTCTTATCGATCACCACTCCCTTCACCAAGCGTGTATCTTCCAAACGACCCCCGACCTTCGCCTCCACTTTTATCAACTCAAAATCCACATCTTTATTCACCTTATCAGCCACTGATAAAACTGCATCGACGGCTATTTCAGCCAATTGACGCTCACATCGATTAACACTGAAAATTGACAGAGTAATTATTAACTCGATAATCAACAACTGAACAAATGTATCTAATCGGGCATTCCATCTGTCTATTTACTTGATGTTAATGAGACAACAAAAAACTCAAAGTACACTTTGTGTAGCATATCACACAAGGGCATCATCAATGCATCTATTTTATTCCACTTAATTGCGTATGATCATTTCCATCCTTGAACAGATAATATCAGTGCGACACTGAGAAAAATCGCGATACAATTACAAATCGAAGGCATTTCTTTGTAGTTAAATTTAATGAACCGAACACGTCGTCCTCACCGAACTAGTCATTCACATCACATGTTTATTAAACAGAAAATTTGCCATGATTCCATATTCATTTTATCGAGTTGCATTACCGCAACGCTATTTTGACATCATGCCTGCACATCGCTGCCAGGATGACATATCGAATCCGTCTGACATTCAACTATATGGTCAACTAACATTGCAAGAAAAAAATCGTCACTCAATTTGTTTGTGGCAATTCAATCGATATATCCAAGAAGTGAAAGAACGAATAAATAATAGATCAACAGCAAACACTCAATAATTAGCTTTGAACTATCCTCTCATAAAATACTGAAAAGAAAGCATCAAAGAAAATCAACAAAAACTCCAAGAGGAACGTCGATTAGATACTACGAAAAAGTAAACCCAACTAAAAATTCTGATGGCGCATTCTGATCTGTTTTTTGCTCCTAAGTCACCATGAAATCAACTACACGGATTCTTCAATGCGAAGAAAAACAGTGTAATTGGTCAAATGATCGAAGGATCCATGTTCCACTTATAAATAACCAATTACGATGAAGTGATTGCTTCAGAGAGTATATAGAAGCATTATACGAATGAATCAGTTGAAACAGTGATACCGTTCCAGATGAGATAACCGAAAACGATCATCAGAAATCGATAAAATTACATTCTAAACACAGAATGAACACTGACTATGGCGATCTCCAGATCACATTAGGACACCTGCTAAAATATTGCAACTATCATAGTCGCAATATTTTAGCAAATGTCCTAATACACGAATAATAAATATGTCCGTGCTCACAAGCTGATAAGCGGAAACAATTCTGGGAATGAAGAATCAGTTTAAACTAACTATAAGTTATAGGCTCAGCTTCAGACTCACACCTAGGCAAAGTTAGAAGTGCTCGAAACAATCTTGCTGTTGAATAAAAGATGGAAACGCTTTCCGACACAACGAATGGATCATTGAACTATGATAACAGTTAATCATTCTACAACGGATTCAAGAAGAAACACTTCAGACAAAATAACATTTCCTTCTGAATAACACTACAAAATAGAATCAATCTAAACGAAATGGAAACAAATAATTTGTTTCAATCGATTTCTTTCAGTGTGTTTTATTTGCTCGAAGTACGCTTAAATTTGCTCAGCTGTCCATTCGATTATTTGTGTTGATTAAAACAGATTCATTTTCGGTTTTTAGTGCCCATATTATGAAGATTTCTCTGTTATCAAACTAAACAAACGAAGTCACAAATATCAGCTCATCAAAAATCATCGCAAATTTAATGAAATATTCTCGATTTATCACTCTCGAACTGATCAACAAAAAAATTGATCTTTTTCTACCAAAAAAAAACATTTATTCACAAACGTTTTTGACTAATCACACACATTCGTCAATTATCAACAGTTATTAACATTTAGCATCTTCCATAGGCAATAACTACCATGCAAATTGCGCACGTCACATCAATGTATCAGTTACTTCAACCACGGTAATTCGTTCCTATGCTTACAAACTACCAAAACAATCCAATTCATTCACCTGAATCAACAGATCCGAAACGAAACCCCAAAAATCAGTTGATTGATACGCGTTTCTTGTTGTCTGATGCACCGAAAACTTGTACGTGCCAAGAGCGTAAATAAGAAAGCGTATCAAAGATCCACCGCTTCATTCGGTTTCAACAACTACGATACCACTGATCCCCATACACTTCGTTACTCAAAAACACATCAACACCAAAATCGGACAGAGAACTCCATATTTTCCAGTGAATGTTATTCGTACTCATACTCATGATGTGAAAAGAATAAATACGACGAAATACCTTGGTGTCAAATAGTTTTTAATCGCTTACTCCCTTTTCCGCTAAAATTAAGTCGAATCTATTCCATTCATTGTTCCCTGCACGTTTGAAAAATTTTCGAATTTTGTTCCAATGTGAATGAGTAAACAATAAAAATGAATAAAATTAACCAGTTTTGTTAGCAATCACTAAAGCGAATCAATCATTCGTCACCCAGAAATGACGTGTGGTGACAATTCAGTCGAATAGCGTCAGAACCACCCAAAAAACCCCTCCCTTCGTTCTCATCTGTTCACGATGAATCTTTCGAAAAATTCAGAATGGTGACAATTAACATCGTTTTATAAAGAACAACATTATGTCTACGCGAATACTAAACAACACATGTAGTTTTCATATCATTTTGCCACCACTTTCATAAAAATTAATCGTTCGTAATGAACTTTTGACATTTTAAATTGTTCCAAAGACCGAAAACTACATCGTTCAATAATCAGTGCACATCATACAAGCGATCTATCAGTTATTATCCTAAATCTTTACTCAACCATCAACCACATCAAAAAAAAAGAACAAATAAACAATTCCAACAGTTTTTTACGTGAAATCATTAAAGAATAATTACAAATCAATGAATAATTTGCGGATAATCGACCCGATCTTCCACTTGGTGACGATTTCAAGATCATAATCTCCAAGAAAATTCACAGATATTCTATTACCAAACTAAATGTAGTTACCTTACGTACATACAGCCACACCGCTTATAAAAAATATGCTCTAAATAGGGTTTTCCATCCTCATTGTCATTAGTATTCGCTGAACAACTTCTACTCCTTGTCAATTCATGTTCACAAGAGGGAACACCAATTCCACCAAAACAAACGTCAGTCGCGCATGTCACTGATTAACAGTTACAATGAATTCAAAGTACACAGTGCTAACACTGACGTCTCAATTGTTCACATAATCATTATTACTATCAACGATGTGAAAACCATCGTGTTCGCTATTCCATTCAAAGTCATTTTTTAATGAACTCGTTTTTAAAATGATTGTGGTCACGGAATAATTCAGTACAAATGGAAGGAGTGATGCGAAGAAAGAACACTCAAGTTGGATAGCAGAAAAGTGAGGGTCGAACAAATAAAGAAAAAGACGGTTGAACACAGGGCACTGATCAGCATTTACGAAACTTTCATCAGTAATGATACTGTTCAGGATGTTGCTAGTCATTAAGATGATTATGACTCATCCATATACTTTGTTCCATATACGCTACAGAAGTCAGTCAGCAACGTGAAGTAGCAAGAAACAAGTGACTTACACTTTCGATCCGAGCGCAGTCATTGCCGACTGAATAAGCATCTCGCGTTGATCGATTGGGAAATGAGTCGAGATTGAGTCGAGAGTTTCCAGTGTCTTCTTGCATGCCAAATCGAAGCCATCAGCTATCTTAATCGGATGGATTCCTTTATCCAATAATGCTTCTGCCTGTTCCAATAATGCTCCAGCTAGCACTGAAATTTATGATGGATATCAACTAAATCAATACGGTTTTCATCAATTCATCATTATCAAAACACTCATCACATAAACGCGAAATGGGCAGTTGATGATAACTTAAACGACCAACCAGACAATACAGTGGATGTAATAGTCACCTAATTTTTATTTATAACAAGTAATCAGAAAACTAGATATTGATCATGACAGAAGCATGTGTGCATGCAATGTAATTACGGCTGACGCTAACCTCATAAGACACTAATCTAAGATGCATATATTCACGTGTCAGGCTCTCTCATGACTACCTCTGATTTTAACCAAACAATATAATATTTATGATTATATTCATTCACTGAGAGTATTTATTACGAATAGGCCAGCATTATTCATTCATGTAATTATCACACCAATATAGCATATTTCACCAGTACTAATCTACTGTACACTAACAGAAAAATTGCCATTAGAAAATTAATTATAATGTCAGAAAGAAACTGAAAGGTTTACATGAAAAATGCCACATGTACACTCAAGAAACATTTTCAGCTACCGACTGAAACTTTTCGTACGCTATTTATCGAGTGAGCGGTTCACTTGACCAGCATTAGTAAAACGAATAACTTGTACAGTTCAGAGATGAACAAGATTGTTTTTTTGTAAGTAGTGACCAGCATATCATCAAACATCCACACGTGAACGAATCAGTACATAAACGGGTGACTCAACAAATAACAAACAAGGAACTGAATAAGTAAATAAAGGAATTTGCAACTAAATGAATGCCCCTGCACTCTGAATTACAGTGGTTTCATCTCAAACATACTTACGAATGAAATCGAAAACAATGATGCGAATCGATTCACAAGATTCATTTTTCGTATGAACGTGATGATGGTGAGCTGGCTGATTCGAATGCTATGTAATGCTTCTATATAGCAGCACTGCTACACGAGCATTTATTGATATGTTCAACATTCAGCATACATCCCAACAAATAACATCTAGCAAAATAACATATACGCAAGCCTATTGCTTATGGCCGAGTAATAGCTTCAGATATTGGCTTGCTTGCGTTCACATATTGCGTGCTGCTGCCTGCTACTGTTGCGTTCACGCTTATTGCCACTCTTTCAAATGGTTTTTGCAAGAGATGCCTAAATTCGGCTTCACTCATTACAAGGATATATGATAGACTGAAAGATTGGCTGCCTACCACGATAGCCAAATAAAAGACAGATAATAAAAGTCATGTGTCTAACAATAAGCAATTTTCGGCCGTTCAAATTGCGCCTCCATCCACCCATTATTTTCTCGTTCAGTCTATCGCTAACAGTTCAGGAGATCTGCCTCCCTCTCTCCAAATTTCGACAACCAATTCAGGTTAAACGGATGGATCAATTGCATCTGTTAGGGTTACACAAGCAATGTTCAGTTGTTACTACATATCTGCCAATCTAACAGTTTGTTCGTTACATTATAAGATTATAGTACACCCAATGGGTAACTCATTTGGAACATAAACTTATGATAGCAATAATAATGAAGATAATAATTCAGTGATTTGAGAAGTTACCAATCCAACCTGTGCGAATGACACCGAAGGAATCAACAGTTTTCGATCAGCGAGTACAGCAAATTATATTATTTGAAATGAAAATATTATATAAAGAGATATACTGCAGCCAAATTACATGAAACGCTACATTATAATCAAACATGACATAAAATCAAATCTGATGTATCATCAAAAAAAACGACCACCAATTACCGTAAGGCCAATGAGCAATCGATAAGAAACAATAAATGGATGATGCGTGCTCAACAAAGATTGCATTGTTTGATATGAGATCTGATATTGAATCATATCAAGCATCGTGTTCATACGGCTGAATAACAGAATGAACCTGCGAACATACACACACACATGTAGATATCCGCATCATAACAAATGCTTACGACGACCATCGCACACATATTCGTTATCAAAAATACATATTCCATTCAATTTAATTTGCACAAAATGAAAACATTTTAACGGACGAATGAATTCGATATAAACGATATCGTCTGTGAATTTTACATACTCTCATACACACTTATCACTCATTCGTATTATTTTACACAGAAGTGCTTTAACAATAACTCAGTTCATAGATGAGAATTGAATTCATATTGACAGCTGATGTGAGAACAGCACACAAGGCATAATTATCATAAAGATGGAAACGCTGATCGGTTAATCTTTCACTGTTACTTCATCGCCCTATTGTCCCATTACACAACAATATTTTCAGGCTTGTGCAAAAAGCGAAACACCAACCAACCATAAATTTAAACTTTTCACAAACGCCGATATGCTTTCAAACCATATACGTGAACACAGTAATATTGAGAAAATGACCGTCAGGAATGAAAGCACACAAATTGAACACGGTTACTGAACACAACGGAGAACCTTTCGCTTCGCAATTCCATGTTTAGACTCAAACCTCGACGCCGCAATAGCTTTTCATTCTAGACTGGTAAATTTATGTCCATTTTTTGTCTACTGCATTACTTTTTCCCCACATATATTTCACCTTTCTTACTCATATATTATTTTTCGCAACGTTCATACATTAGATTACTAAATCAGCAATGAAAGATTACTCGTGAATCGTTTATTCCCCACACGCCTATATTATATCTTTAGCTAAAAGCAGAGTGTGGTGCAATTTTTGAATGATTATTCAATCGACTATAAACTAAATCAGCGACGCAATAATAAATTTCCATTTCTCAAAAATACTATTCAAATGCATTTCTGCATGCAACAAAGAATATTTCTTGGTTCATTTGTTTTCCGCTAAGCGTGGCGTGTGCGTGTTGTATTAATGAATCAGTTCGAATAAATTCAAAAGCGAGCTGCATTTCGAAAGAAATTACACATTTGGGTGTTTCTCAAATTGTTTTATTAAAAAAACGAAAAAACAGATTACGAACTGATCAATTTTGTATTGCAAAAATTGCACAAAAATATGAGTAAATTTCAAAATATAAATACAATCTTCAAATCATGCAATGACTATCCGTATGTAATTGTGCATGTACTATTATATTAACGAACAGCCACAATCACACTTTTAAGGGCAAGAAGAATGGGTGAACGATAGAAAATGGTGTTGAATCAGTGCTTAATTCTACACTCAAATTACTTCTCATCCCAACCACTTCCACACCAGAGGTAATGCTGATCATGATACTAATAAATCAAACAATAGTGCCGCAATCAGCTGAAGCATCATCCTTAACATATTATTACGCACTGCTAACAACTCAACAATGATTGAATACCTCAGAATCAGTTTTAATCATTTCCCCTTAATCATTCAAATTCATTCGTTTCGGAATGATTCACTATAGATGCCGAACAACAAATATTTGGTAATAAACTGGTAACAGCTGAATTTTGTTGATCATTTGTTGAAGAAAATATTTTCAGACAGTTATAAACAGCACAATTTTGTGAACGCTTGAAAAGTGAATCTTACGGAATCGGACAAAAATAATTGAGAAGAATAAACAGTTTGATATGTGAAACTCTTCTGGAATGTAAAAAAGAACGAGAAATCATAAAGATTGTATCGTAACGACAGCAATAAACACTGAGTAGATTTAGGAAGAACGGATATGACAGTGCTCCACCAACCATAGAGCCGACAGATCAGTGATTGTGATAATATGACAGTGGACCATGAAAGTCGTCAAAAAACAGAATTCTGGATTTTTCAGCAACGAAAACAACCGACATTCAGAAAAAACGAACGCTGATAAACTGAAGCGATCACAAACAGACAAAATACTGTTATTCTACAAAACTATCCAAGGGAACAGCACGAATTCTTCTCGGTTTGCCAACGTCTTTGATAAAAAAGCAGAGAACGCTTTTTTCGTTCCGGACAAATGATCGTGAATTATCGAAAAACTGATTAAGGCTTCGTGGAAAGGATCAAAGTCGAAAGCAAAGCAAAATTCCAACTGAATGTAATAAAACTTTATGAAACGAAAGATGCACGTGAAACTGACTGAAAATGAAAGTGAAAAGTACCAAACTGACAGTGTCAGCGAACCGTGATAATGATGTTGAAAACTGCGAAAGTTGAATAATATGGACGGATTAGTCTAGAAGACTAAATGAAATTCACTATACTTCCATGAATTCGATGAATGAATCAATGGAGTCCTAATGCCTACAGAATTACATTTGATAGGGTAATAGAAATTGTAATCATTATAACAAGCAGCCTAATGTTAGGGAATATTTTTATAGTGAATAAATGCTGCTGTAGTGGAAATAAATGAACAAGCAATGGAATACCGTTATTCAGACATGTTCACTGACCGAGTGAAGCGTAAACGAGACGCGAGAGCTGTTCAGGAAAGGATGAAACTATTCTGTCAAAAGATGGTTACGTATCTGCCTTGTACAAACATGCAATAGTTGCGATGGAAACCAATGTGATGTGCTGCATTCAATAACCATACTAAATACCCGAATAAATGAACAAGATCAGTCAAAACGAACCCACAACACCGGTAGTTCCATCACCAATCTCGGCATCCTGACTCTTCGACAGCTCTACCATAAGTTTGGCGACATGATGCTTCACGTCCATCTTCCCTAGTATTGTAGCACCATCATTCGTTATTGTCACATCACCATCTGAACTCACCAACATCTTATCCATACCACGAGGACCCAACGATGACTTCAGTGTATTCGCTACTGCTCGTGCAGCCAGTATATGACTCTGCAAGCATTTACTGTTATTCTTGGTACAAACACCATTACTATCACAATGAAACTCAAATGAAACATTGCCATTTAATAACAGATTCTAAATGTTCTTCCACACAGCCAGTCCAGCAAACAATCCGCACTCCATATTACAGGCAATTCGATTGTCAATGCTATTGCAATGAGATGAGCAATTCACACCCTAATGTTTTCCGTAAGTAACAAGCTGCCGTAAATCAATTGTAAATTATTAACCGACCGTTTCTAATAGAAATATAACAATGAGATGTAACCTTAAGGGCCTCAACCCCAGTGAGACGTTTTTGTTTCTCTTGATCTCGTAGTATGATGAACGGTTGCCCGTATTCATCGAACATCACTTGCGCAGCAGTTGCCATTTTATTGTAACACTGAATCGTCTGAATTACCTCAAGAAAATCACGGTATACTCACCAAAGGACGCACAAACTACATGTCAACGTATGCACACTAACAGGTTAAATATTAGAGGAAACAAATTATGGTAACGATCACTTTAGATTAATGCGCTTCGCAGGTCACAGCAACCAGGAATAGACAGGTAAGCTAAAAATGACAGAAATAAGCATAAGCCATGAACGTAGTGTTACTCCTTCGATCATTATTTGACTCGAAAATCCCAAATTTCCGTTTCAATTTAGAGCTTACCCAGACAACTGCTGATACTCGATGATACGAGTTAGAAACGTACAGAGGAGTTATTGAAGACTGTTCGAAGTTGACAGTAAGAATAATCGCTACTTCCAGGGGTCTGAGTTAACTTCGTTTGAGGCTTACTTCTGGTGTAGGTTAGGGCATACCTCGGATTTAGGCTGAGACTCATTTCCGGTTTGAGGCTTTCCCGAGCTCAGACCTAGCTTTATTCACTAGTACGAATTGTTTCGAACAGTCTCCAAAAACTCAGCCAGATAATAAGGAGTTCTATGATCTACTTTTAGCACTTGTCAACTCAAGTTTTAAAAAATAAACTAAACAAAAATAATCAATCCTGCGCAATGCTTCAGACAAGTGAGTGGAGCATCAAGGGTTCGACAGCACTACGCCACTCGTCGTACACACACCCTGCCCTATCTGCACCCTAACAACGAAGAAATGCAAACGGTAATTCAAATACAGCGTAACACGAAAATTTCGACCAAAGTGTATTCATGGAAGGGCAGTGTCACTGCAAAAATAGCTGAAAATGAACAAAAAAGTCACTTCAGCCTCTCAGCTATACGACTTCGCTAGCTACTGCCCATAACATCAACAAAGACATTGTAAATGATCAGAATTCAATCATAAAAGTTTGCCTCGGCAGTGCCACTTTCTTGTTCATTTTCGTGTATTTCACAAGCAGTCGACGCCTCCATAAAATCGTCTCCCCTTGAATATTTTCACTGTTTCGCGACATGAGCACGTCATTACCCCCATAACTCAACTACCCCAAAACATCTATCCCGCCTTCGTAAGCAGACTCAGTGGCATAATGACCGACTTCCATCTCAAGTGTGCGTAAAATCGCTCTGTTTGAAAGTCTAGTTTGTATTGATCTACATGTACAAAAACACACTGATATCAGGATCACTATATTCAAACTAACTGTATCCTTAAGTTTCTACGGCAAAATGTCTTTCTCTCTCAACTATCGGATTCTCCAGATTCTCCAGTTTCAGAAAAGTATGTGTGTTGTGGGATGATTCCGTTCACTGTTTGGATATTGTCGATCATTTCGATATAGACATGCAGCGATACTTGATATTATTCATTCAGCAGTTTTGTTAACGATATCCTTAAGAATTTTGTTGCTAGCAAGGGATCTGCTCGTTAAAGCGATTCGAATACTTACAATTAGAAACTAAGTATGCTGAACGTCGCAAATGTATCAGTCATCCTCTCACATGCGTCTCTTCTTGATTCAAGTTGATGATAATAAAGAGCATTTTACAAAAATAATCGGAAATCAACGCATAGAATAGGCCATATCCTCATGCTCTAGTCTCCAGCAAAAGCAAAAGTTACAAATCCAGGCTTGCTTTCGATGATACAGTTTCAAATAGCTGATCAGAGATCAAAACTTATTACGGTGATATTTACTCAGTACATTGGAATTTCGTAATAGACTTCTGAATGCACTCTGTCAAAAAACGTCAAACGACGTACCATCCTTACAATGCTTTAGACACGCACGTGTGCACCTACGCACGCTCGCATCTGAAGCATGACACTCGAGATTTTTGAGAGCTCTGCATCTCTACTTTCTCCTATATTCCCATTCTATTTTCTTTCTCACTAGCCATCGCAACGCAATTTCGACAATTTTCGGCTTGATTACGAAAGAAAACACCCCACCTCTCCATCGATTTTTAGCCACCATGATGGCTTAAATCACTTTCAATTCAGTTACAAAGATTCTGTGGCTGTTTAGTTACATTTTATTTGAGTGATGCTAACAAATTTCAATGCCTCCGGATTTCATCCGGAATGAAAGAGCTTCTAAGATCCCAAAGAATGATCTCGGCGAAATGTCGCTTCTTTTTTTCCACTGATGTTGGAATTCCCTCGCTAGTGGTATGACATAATTGTATGTGCATGTTTGTTGATCACTTCGTTGTGATCATAATGTGCATTTTATGATCTGTTAATGGTACCATACCGATTGATCTCCACAGATCATATCGTTATGATTGATTGCCTTGCTCATTCAGTATTCATTTATTTCGCTTATATATGTTCTGTGCGGTGCAGTTGTGGTGCGTAATACATTTTTGTATGTGTCATCCATGATTTTAGTTCGCTCATGTATTTTCTAGTGAAATTCAAAATTGTGCCGTAGACATTTTGAGAACACGTCGCAACCTTCCAACTGTTCATGTTTTAGTATCATATTGCTTGTCAGGTTAATCGCTCGGATTGTTATGAAATGAACAACGAATTAATCATTTAATATTGTTCCAGATCAGAGGTGATCGAGACCGGACAAACCGTGACAGTTTCAACGATACTGTCACTGGTCATCATTTCGAATCAAAGGTGAGGAATTGAATCATTTCTGTGGTGGTTTAATTTGTTTGTTGGTGATGTGAAATGACTTTCTTGTCTATTAATGTTGTTAATTTCTCTTGATCTGACGGGAACCTACCGTCTATTCTTTAAGTATGGGTATTGTGTGAATATTCTTCATTGGATGGGTTGATGTATAAAACAGTTGTGTGATAACAGACATAATATTGATAGAGATGTTGTTATTTTGGGTAATGTAGCAATGCGATATTTCCCTGAAAATGACACATCTTGTCAGCATTGAACCGTCATCCAATTCTAGGTAGAATCGCGTGCTGATGATTGCAACTGGATGACGAGACACCACAACCGATGGTGATGGACCAATGGACGATTCGATAGGCGTGGTGATACCGGTTCGTCTTCATCAATATCTCGTGTCAATCTCAACAGTATCACCTCAAATCAAATCAAACAAATCAAAACAACAGCGATCAACATTCGAACGAATATTCAACTCAACAATAATATTCAACATTATTCAACAATTGTGACACCGTGGCGCAAAGAAGCGCCAGGTTAGTAGTTTTAGACTTGTACTTAGGGACTGAGAATAAAATTCAGTCGTGGTCAGTGACCACTTTTTTACATATTTCATTCTTTTATTCTTTAATTCATTTATGAATATTGTGAATAATATTTGTATGTGTTGTTAATTACATGTGAATTGTGCTTGATTTGTAATTGACCAGTTAAGTATAGAAGACAATACAGTGACAAATAGTATAGTGCAATGTTTAATGTTATTATTGTCGATCATAAACTTGTGAAGATATTAATGATGCTTCATATGTTTTAACTGGGGGGATTTTTTAGTGCTTTTTAATTGAACTGTTAATGTTATTTGCGTTATGTTACCATCATTACTTTGTATTATTGTTATTGTCACTGTATTGTCGAATGTTGAGAAGTTTAGCCCTTTTGAAACAATTTGATATCAAAGGAAAAATATTACAAAATCTGACTCATATTATTACCTATTGGATTTAGTTTTCTATTTATTCATTAATATTGTGAATTAACTGATTTGTATACTGCATATAATGTATATATTCATGTATTTTGCCACAAATTATCATGTATGTTTTCATTATTTATTTAT